TTCCGAATACACTTTCGGGCTCTTAACATTGATAAAAGACTAGTATGATGATTCTAACGATCACCATAAATAATAACTGTTCCTTGATCTGGCAGAGTAATTCTGATCATCTTCTTATTACAAACAATATTGGCCTGATGTTCTGCCAACCAATCCATACTCACTACTACATCAAAGTCTTTCATCGACATAGGGAATAGTCGAATCGATAACTCACACCCCTCAATAACAATAATACAATTATTGAATACTCTAGTAACAAATTCTTGACTATTAGTAGTGTCAACTACTAATTGATCATCAAGGAGCACAGAATTCAAGCATGCAGATTGAGCAAATGATGGTGATACAAATGAAAAATTTGCACCAGAATCAAACAACACCTTAACACGTATAGAATTCAGTACAAAGGTACCTGTTACCACRTCGGGGGTAGTTTCTGCCTCGTTCTTTGTCATTTGAAACGATCTGCCTCTGGCTCCACTCTGGCCTCCCCTCGGTACACTAGGCCTTCCACGATTACTWGGAGCATTTCCTCCCATTGTCAAATGAGGAGCTCTTAATTGTGGACAATTCGGTCGGATATGGTYAAGTGAATTGCACTGAAAACATATTTTGGGTGTAGTGCAATCCCTTGACAGATGCCCTACCTTTCCACATCGATAGCATCTCTTTGGTTYAGATGGACAATTCCCTTGATGCACCTGCTGACACCGTGGACAAGTCCCAACAGGTGACRGCTGTAGAGCACGGTTATCTGATTTAATAAACTTGGGTCTTCGAAAACTAACTRAAGACCCCTCCCACTTTCTTTTCTCTATTATTTTCTCTTCACCTTGCCGATTCTTGTTTCTTTCAGTAACTTCGGCAACATTCAAGGCTAAAGAGAAAGTTTCATGGTTCATAGCAATCACGAACTCCCGGATAAAGGGTTTCAATCCCCAAATGTACCTTTCCACCTTTCAAGATTCTGAAGAAACATAATGTTCCGCGAAAAGAGAAAATTCAATAAATTTCTCGGTATAATCCCGCACAGATCTATTCCCTTGTTCCAACTTAAGAAAATCTTCTTCCATCTGTCTTACTGCTGTCGTAGGACAAAATTGTGTTTTGAATTTATTCACAAATTCTTCCCAAGACATTGATTATAGTTTATTTGGTTGTGCCGAGGACTCCACATCCCACCAATATAAGGCATTAGATTTGAGCATAGATACTGCAAATCTAACCTTATCTTCTTCAAAACACCTACTAGTGTTAAATACCGACTCAATCT